CTTCCTCACATGGTTGATGAACTTCTCGAAAATTCATGGCCCTCTAGAGAGAATGCGTTGGGTGGTTTATGAATCAGGAAGCACAAACTGGAGAAGATCCCATTCCACTACCGCCAGAGAGAACTCACACTACCAGACTTGGCCAACTATCAATTGCAGCGTCGACAGCGGTGGTAACGAGCCATAGAGCCGTCCAATCAAGGTCTGGTCAATTCTCTAAGCACCCACAGCAACATCATCGTCATTGAATTGGATGGCCGCAATTGCAATCAGATAGTGGATTTTCAATCGAGCACGTATGCGAAAGGGGGAGAGCGATATCAGCAAGCCAAGGAGAACGGTGGGTGACCAGATGCAAGGTGGATGAGTATTTAACGGTAGTCATTATCAGCATCGTCGCACGAAGGCAAAAAGCCCTACCCACTCGCCCGACGTGGGGAGAGAGGAGGGAGGATTTGTTCTTTCATTTTTTGCTCTTATAGGGAAAAAAAGCTAATTGCTTTGCATAATTATTTTTGAAATTGAGGGATTTAGCATTTGATATTAATATTAGATTTTGCCTTAAATTTAGAAAATTAAGATTTCGTCTTAATCTAGATAATTAAGATTAAATTTTGTAAGAGAAATTAATATTAGATTTATTGCATAAATAGCAGATTTCGCATGTGAAATGATGATTGGTAAATTAAATGTAGTTATGCAATTTTAAATTTATCGAAGAGTACTCGTTAAATTGAATATATTGATAATGTAAAGTTATGTTACATTTGTGGAGTATCACTTATGAATTCTGATAATATTGCAGGATATTGGTATTTACAATCCAGATGGCCATGATTACACTTTGCATTTCATTGATGGCGTGAAATACACTAAGGATTTGCAAGCAAATGAAGCAGCTACTGAGATTGCCAAGGGCTTGGGGTTTTATTTGGTGAGGGCAACGAACAAAAACTACAAAAAATTTGGCTTATTACGGCAAATTTTTTATTTTGTCATTTGTTGTTTGTCACAATAGGTACTATAATATAACAAAAATTGTATATGTCCTATTTGGTATAGCTAATGTGACAAAAAACACTTTTGTCAGAATATGTTGTCATTTAAAGTGATTAATATGACAAAAGTTACGTCTCACAATTTGGTTTATCAAAATAGGTAACCCATATCGGGATGTAAGAGACAGAAAGTGACAAATTATATCGTAATAGTAGCTTTTTTCATATTAGCCTCTCTGAATTGTTTAAATGATAAATTATTTTGTCACCATAGATAACAATAATCTCACTGTAAGCTGACAAAATAGCATGTTCGGCATAATATAGTGGTTTCGTTTTTGACGAAGGCATTTCGTCAGATATGCTTGTGTTAGACTAAAACCTATTTCCCCGAGGAAAATAAATCACAAAAAGAATAATAAAATAAAAAATTGAACATTATCCTCATTCCTTGTCTCTCCAAATTCAGCAGTCATTCAGCATCCAAAAGAACCAAAAAAAAGTCACCACAAAAAATCTAGAACGCTCGATCCTATACCCGTCTTTCCACCAATCGGCCAGAGCACTCACCGCCGGGTGTTCGATCAAATCCGTTCCACCAATCGGGCCGGCCGCTACTCACTGTCGCAGTTCCTCAATCTCAGCAAGCTCAATTTGCGTAGCAAAATTGTTGTATCAAATCGTTTCCCGCAGCATAATCTATTTCGCTCGCTCGCCGCTACTCACAACCAGGTAAGCGTCGTCCCTCCCTTCTCTGCCAACTGCGGCGCTCAGTTGCTCTATTTCCCCTATATATATATATCTCCCTGATTTTGAACAAGTACAAGGTATTATAAGTGCTAACAATTGATTGGATCAAGCATGAGTATGACTTCATAATTTGATTGGTTTATCAGAATCCGGAACAGTTATAACAAAAAGTAATCGCCACAATAATCAGTTATGAAAAAATTCATTCGTCCTAATATACTGAAATGACAAAATATAATCGTCATACAACGTAGTTATGACAAAGGATATTCGTCACATCATGCATTTATGACAAAATTTATTCCTCACAATAATGTGATGTCACAATATAAACCAGTAATATGAAGAATAATTCTGTCAAAATAAGCATTTGTGACAAAATAATGACAAAACATGTTGACATAACATTTTCGTTTGTCACATTATATACATTGACCGACAAACATAGCTTTTGTCATATTAGACATGAAACAAATAAGGCACCTTTCTTGACAAACAAATTTCGTCATAATATACAGATATATCAAAATACAATCATCTAATATGACGAACAATTATACTAAAATCACCAGATTATGACAACTGTAGTGACAAAATATGTCATCATAAAAGTTATGTTTGTCACAATAGACTACCCAGAACCTCGGCTATACTGAAAGCAAATGTGTTTATTTTAAATTTTTGTCATATTTGACCTATCTTGATGGAGATAAAATGACAAACCCTTGTGGGAAGACCTTTTGTCATATTAGGCCTAATATGACCAAATGGGTATCTAATATGATAAATAAGTCTCGTCATAATAGGTCGGATTTGTTGTAGTGAAAAAAAGTGAAGGTAGTTGGCGACATTACTTACATTGCACTCATGGTAAAAAGAAAAAGTCGAAGGTTCCTGATCCAACTAAGGAAATGATGCCTCTTATTGCTACTGAAAAGTTGGGCTGCAAGTTTCAGATCAAGATTGAGCGGTACAGTGATGGATATTGGTTGATCCTAGGGGTGGCAAATACAAAGAATCCTGGTGCTAATTTGGGTTTCCACAATCATCAATTGGAGCTATTTCCGGAGGGATCAAAGGGAAGGAATGTTTTGACTACAGATGATAAACAATACATCATATAGCTGAGATTGACAGGTATCCCACCAAGGAATATCCACAAGGCAGTGAATGAGAGAAAAGGGCACATGAACACACAACAGAAAACAAATTTATAACGAGTTGCAAAATATAAGGAAAGAAGAGCTTGGTCAGATGACACCCTTACAATATATTTTTCACGTGTCTTATGAGAAGGGTTAGTATGTGCAGTATATGGACGATCATAACGTGCTTACACACTTGTTCCTAGCCCACCCTAGGTCAATAGTGATGTTGCGAGTTTAGCACCATGTGATCATTATAAATGTAACATACAAGACCAATAAGTATGATATGCCTTGGATTGAGATTGTCGGCATACCCCAGTGAGATTGAACTTTGTTATTGCATTTGCACTAGTTTCCGACGATACGAAGGAGTCGTACCAGTGGATTCTTACGCATTTGCAACATCTGCTTGGTTCTGTTGTTCAAGGTGTGTTTGTTAGTGACAAGGCAAGAGGAATGGCTGAGACAGTGTGGGTAATGTTTCCATCATTGAATCATATACTAGGTCTTTGGAATATAGACAGGAATGTGAGAGCAAAGTGTCTAACATAGGTGTGGAGGATGACTCATTGTGGTATAGATGCAGCCAAACCGACGGTGGATCATATCATGGCGTCTTGGAAACTTGATGTATATGCATTGATAGTGGAAGACATGGATACAACCTTAGACAATTTCAGGCGTAGTAGGGGAGTATAGTACCTGCGACTCTACAGGTATTTGGCAGCTGAGTGGTTACCAGTTAGGCACATGTGGGATAAATGTTAAAGTGCAACATTTGGGTAATACAAGCTCAAATAGAGTTGAATCTGCTCATTCCTCCTTCAAGAAGTGACTTCAATCTTCTACTAGTGCAATTGACACGGTTAGTACCCTAATAAATCTTCATTGATACCTCTTTAAGAAGTTTTAGTAGTCTCCTAATTGTTTTCATTGTCTGTAGGTATTCAAAAAGAACGATGATTGCATTGAGGCTCAACACCTTCAAATCAAAAAGCTTCTAAAGGATTCTCGACCAAAGAAGCTAGTTCGAGCGGATGGAAGACCATTTTGAGAGTTGAATATGAAAATCACTCTAGAAACTCCGAGGTTGATGTTCTTCGAGGTAGCAGTGGAAGGTGAACCTTGTACATGTACGTTTCCTGCTACCTATGATCTCCCATATATATTCCATTTAGTTAGCATAACGTGAAAATCGGGATTTTGCCTTGTATGAGGTGTTGCCTTTCTTAACCGTTATCAACTATCATGAACATTGTACATGTACGCTTTGATCGCAGTTCACCGACGGATCAAACGTACTTTGACCACAAGGTTACACTGCAAATCAAATGCAGTTGGGTGCGTATTTACCTTGTTCCGGTCGTCTTCTCCCGTGGAGATGAGCAGGAGGTTGACGACGACAAGGCTGGTGTGTGGGGGAGGGCAAGCCGATGACGTTTGCGCCTGGGAGAGAGCCGGCAAGGCGACTGGGGGCGCCGATGACAAGTGGTTGGTAGCGACGTTTCTCTTCTTTCGATCGTCTTCTCCGGCGATGGGGGAGGACGATGACGACTGGGGCGTGCTGGCGGAGGTGGGATGACAATGAGAGGGAGGTGGGAAGAAGGCTCAGTGGCCATGAGTTGTGGGAAGAGGTGGAGTTAGGTAGGGTTTTAGGAGTTACATGTTGTTTGTTTGTTTGAATTTTGAAATTTAATTAAGGGTATATAGGTAATTTAATATTTAAATTAAGGTGACAATTAGCAATTTTAAGTGCGACGTTTAGCTATTTAGTAAAAAAAAACTTGTTAATCTCCTCTAGGAAACTTAAGAGGCCCATCTATATGTACATTAATAAAGCCCAACCTTGTTCATACTCCTGAACAACTCCTGAGTCAAGCAAAACGGAATTAGGGCCCAATAAGCCCATTTCCCTGGAAGGAATGAAGTCAGATTCTCAACTCCTAAGTCCTAACAGTCACAGAAGCTTGTAAAGCGTAAAACCCTTACCGCCCAGGTTGTTTGTAGAGTAGTTGTACCAATTCTCGTCTTCTCAAAATCTCTCATTCCGCCATCAGTTGATGCAGGGAATAAGGTCTACAGCCATTTTTGCAATTTGAATCCTATGCCAAAATGCTCTCGCCGCACCACCGTCACCGTCGCCAATTTACTCCTCAGTCGGTCGAGCTCTGCATTCCATCAATTGCTTTCCTGTAAGTCCCCTTCCCTTGCTTTGCAGCTGCACTTCTCAGTCGCCACTCTCCAATCAAATTCCCACAAGGACGACGGACGCCACAACGACTGCAATGGTAAACGTCAAGATGGAAACGAAACCGAACTTCCGATTCATCACAAGATATTCAAGTCCCCTGCCAAGATGGGTTCCTACCAGTCGGGCGACTCCTCTTTCTATTCGCTCATCGAGACCTACGCCAATAATTGCGATTTCGAGTCGCTGGAGAAGGTTCTGGGTCGAATGAAGAGGGAAAACAGGGTGTTTCTGGAAAAAAGCTTCATTCTTGTGTTCAGGGCTTATGGGAAAGCTGGCTTCCCTGGGAAAGCCCTGGAGTTATTTGATAGAATGGCGGACGAATTTCAGTGTAAGCGTACTGTGAAGTCGTTTAACTCTGTTCTGAACGTTGTTATACATGCGGGTCTTTTCCGCCAGGCTCTGGAGTTTTATGATCATGTTGTTAGTTCAAAACATGTCAACATCTCGCCTAATGTGTTGTCTTTCAATTTGATCATCAAGGCTTTGTGTAAGCTTGGACTGGTCGATAAGGCGATCCAAGTGTTTAGGGATATGCCGGTTAGGCAATGTGACCCAGATGTGTACACTTATTGCACACTGATGGATGGGCTTTGCAAGGAGGATAGAATTGATGAAGCGGTTTCACTATTAGATGAGATGCAAGTTGAGGGCTGTTTTCCTAATCCTCCCACTTTCAATGTGTTGATTAATGGGTTATGCAAGAAGGGAGATTTGGCACGGGCGGGAAAGCTAGTTGACAACATGTTTTTTAAAGGGTGTGTTCCTAGCGAGGTGACTTATAACACACTTATTCATGGGTTGTGTCTTAAAGGGAAGTTGGATAAGGCAGTAAGTCTTTTGGATCGAATGGTCTCTAGTAAATGTGTCCCCAATGAGGTCACTTATGGTACAGTAATTAATGGACTGGTTAAGCAAGGAAAGGCACTTGAAGGGGTTCAAGTGTTAGTTTCATTGGAACACAGAGGGCATAGTGTGAATGAGTATGTTTTCTCAACTTTGATCAGTGGGTTGTTCAAAGAGGGCAAGCCTGAAGACGGGATGAAGCTGTTTAAGGGAATGATAGAAAAGCGATGTAAACTTAACACTGTTGTATATAGCGTTGTCATAGACGGTTTGTGTAAAGATGGAAAGGCGGATGAAGCCTTAGAAATTCTTTCTGAAATGGAGAATAAGGGTATTGTGCCCAATGCCTTCACTTACAGCTCTTTGATGAAGGGGTTCTTTGAGATAGGCAAATCCCATAAAGCCATTGAAGTGTGGAAAGCTATGGCAAAGGAAAAATGTGTTGAGAATGATATTTGCTATAGTGTAGTGATTGATGGCCTATGCAAGACTGGGAGTATTGAAGAGGCAATGATTGTGTGGACACAGATGTTGCACAAAGGATGTAAGCCTGATGTCATCACATATAGTTCAATGATTCATGGCCTTTGCTGCTCTGGCTCTTTGGAAGATGCTCTAAAGTTGTACAATGAGATGCTATGCCAAGAACCAAATTCTCAACCAGATATTGTCACTTACAATATACTTTTTGATGCTTTGTGCAATCGGAGTAGTTTGTCTACTGCTATTGATCTTTTGAACAGAATGTTGGACCGGGGGGTTGATCCTGACGTTATTACCTGCAACATTTTCTTGAGAGCATTGGGAGAGAAGATAGATCCACCTCAAGATGGAACAGAGTTCTTAGATGAACTCGTGGTTCGGTTATTTAAGCGACAAAGTACCTTAGGGGCTTCCCAAATTCTGGGAGTCATGCTGCAAAAGTTTTTGTTGCCAAAGGCCTCTACATGGGGAATAGCTGTTCAGGAATTTTGCAGACCAAAAAAAGTACAAGTAGCGATTGAAAGGTGCCGGAACAATGTATATGGGTAGAACAACCACATGGATCCTTAAAAGCCCTATGCTGAATGATGTGCAGAATCATGCAGATGATAGAACAGCTGAGAGAGATCACAGCTTTCGTAAAAGTTGTGCATTGAAAAATCCTCCTTCCTCATAATGGCCCATACTTCTGCTGGTCTCATGGTTCAAGTGGAAGTTTGAAAACAGTTCATGATGCAGATTATGATGAACATGGCTCAGGATGCTTTCTCGTGAAATTGGTGAGCATGCTAATATTTCTTCGTATCCTTGGACCTTTCTGCATGGTGTTATACTTCATTGAATTCTAGTCTGTTCTTCAGCTTTGTGGTTATGCAAAATGTCTAATGTTATGGGTCATGGAATGGTGTATGTTATGAAATCTCTCAGCCATGAGCATATCTCAAGATTGCAAATCTCCATCGGTTTCTTGATTGTCTTTTCGATGTATGCAGCTGGCAGGAAATTTTGTTTGAATCATTTTGTTTGAATCTTTTCCTCTTTGCTGATACACTGACCAAGTTAGTGAGGCTTGGTGGTCTTTGTATCATTGCTTTGAATTCTATGATGATAGTTATCTTCTCTTCCTGTATTTTGTTTGTGTAGGTGTTGATCATATCTCATTTCTGTTGATGTGCTCAGAGTGGAAACCGAGCGAAGAAGTAGGTTCAGAAAAGACGAAATCTTAGAATTGAGTCCATTTTCTTATTGATATTGAAATATCAATGATGCTTATGCCTTATTCAGGACCAGTTTAAGTTTCGCACGCAGAAACTTAACATTATCATATGATCTCATTCCTTTTCCAGTTTGCGGGTGCTGCCTTATTGCCATAATATTAGATGTTAACTATGACCTTTGGTTAGATTGGTAGGGTTGCGGAGGGAGTTGGATGGACGATTGAGAAGAGTGGCAAGATATGAAGTCCATGCTCTGGTCATTGCTGCAGTCGCCACCATTCCCTCGAGCAGTATGTTTCCTGCAATGATGAATGCAGCCAAGTCTCCCAGCTCGATTCTCAAGTAAGCAAATGAACCGCCTGCCACGGGGATTCCCACTGTGAATTCCATGTAGCAGAAGACACATAGCATGGGCGCGAGTCCAGAAGCCAATTAGGACAAGACGATGGCAGGTCCAGCATGATCATAACTCATGAGCTTCCGCTCCGGTCAGCACGTAAATGTCAGCTCCATAACTGAACCGAACCCAAACCAGGTGAGGCAACGTTTTATCTCGTTCTCGTGCTGCTTCCTGAGAACTTCCACCTCATTGGCATTTTGGGACTGAGATATGAGACGGTCCTTGAACTGCTGGCATGTCTGTGACCAGGCTGCCTGTTAGCTGCCCCAGCTGCTGAAGAACTCTTCAGGGAAGAAATAGTGTTTCTTGAATCCCCCAATAATTTATTTCCTGGATTTCTGCAGTTCTGTGTTCTTCAGAAGCAGCAGCCATCTTTTGCAGCTGCCTTTGGTGGGTCGTGTACGTCAGTACGTGGATAGAGATCTTGTATCATCTCCTCGGAAAACTGCAACAGATCTCCACAATGTTCACTCCTAGATCACTTTTTAATGAAGTCCCAAGTTTTCCATCGAGTTGTTTCCTACAATAAAATAATTTCTCATGTTCAACTCTGAATAGAGCATCCCATCTACATATGAGAAGCACAATAGTCTGCTCTGTTGTGCAGGTTTGTTCATAGCACTTGCAAGTTTTGCCAGCATCGAGTAACACAAAGAAATAGATGTTCAGATTCAAATCAAAGAGGATTGTGCCTGCCTGTGCGAGCTTTGGAAACTAATGATATTGCAGGAGAGAGTATTCCACTATTCCTACTTTATTATGAGCAATGCCAGTATAACTGTACTCTGTCTCCATTAGGACTAGCATTCTAAGTTAAGCAACAATAATAGTTCCACAAGCTAACAAGTAACACAATTTTTTAGGAACAAACGTGATAATTTAAGTGACCAAATATATTATTAGCTTATTCTTGTATAAGGGTGATAAATGTTCTATTTTTTTTTTTATGTTTAAGGTACTACTTAATGGATTCGAATCTGGAATCTCCAAATTCTAGGCTAATGATATTATCATTAGACCAGACCCTTGTTCGTTTTTTTTATAAGAGTGATATAGATTTTAATTTTTTTGTAATTAAGATACTAGTTAATGGGTTCGAAGATCTCCAGGTTCTATACTAAATACGCTCTCCTTATTCTTCTTCGTGAACATGCATATACTAATATAAATGTCCACCAAGTCTGAACATTATGAGGCGATGATGAAGATCTTAGGTGCAAGTTTGAACTCGAAATATTCTGGGCTCAAATGTTGACAACTACCGATATTTGTGTTACCTTTTACTGACCACTAACCAGAGGCAGAGCTATGTGTTTGTCTTAACAACTACTGTGAGTTTGTTGATTCATGGAGTTGAGATTGAGTAATATGTAGTTGACCCTAACACTCTCGCTGCAAAGAGAAAATTTTACACAATGCTCACTCTATCTTAGTATCTTTGGTGAAAACAAGATACAAGTCTCCCAAAGCATCACTAGCATACGCTCTGACTCGAGTAGCACCGCATTTATTAGTGTGCTTAAGCTGATGTCGAAATTCAAAGATTGTAAGCAACTCATGACGTACATGTCATGTATAGCTGGTCATTATGTCGTTGGATCCACAGTTGTGTGAACTGACCCGAGAAGCAGCTGCTGAAGTAATCTTGGTGATAGCAGGATTCGAGAAAGAAGGAAGTTTCAACCCAGAAACATTTCACCTTTTATGTTTTGTTTTAGTATGTGATAAGTTGGTTGTTGTTTAAGTGTAGTTATTAAACAGTACTTAAGTTTGTGTTTGGCCAGTGATGTTTTCCTCGTGGTTTCTCTGAGTTTGTATTTCTGGTTTAAGCTGACAAGCAGCTATACTTGCACTTAAAGGGTCTTGCATTCCGCAAATTCATCCGAAGTTTCATGGTGTGAAAGGTTTCGACCGAGAAATCTCATGTTCGAATTCTTATGACGACCTCTAACATCAACAATGGTTTCGTACAAGAGATGATATATTCAATCTATACAAACTGAAATCCCACAACTAGGATTTCGATTAATGAGGCATGTAAAATAAAGGGAATGACATATAGAACTCATAACAAACATTTTTAAACAACTCGAGTTATTGGGACTAAATGATTTGTTCATTAACATGGTATCAGAATGATGCTTGTTCTAGGGTTGCAATGTCGAGCACTCCACCGTGGATTGGGCATGGACGAATGAATAGTTCATCGTTTGGACAAGCAAACAAGGGATTTGCAAGATATGGAAATGGAGCTTCCATGGGTTTCTTGTTTAGGACCTTTAAGCAACAAGGCTACGAGGTCATTACTGTGGATAACCCTTTCTATCTTAATCCTAATGAGAACTAAATCAATCTATTAGAATTGAAGTATATAAGTGATAACACGTAGATTGAACTATTTTAGACCCCGTATTATGATCCAAATCACATTCATTTCATATAATTATTGTCATAATACGTTGAATTCGTGCTATGAATGTTTTTTTTAGCAATTCTAGGATTGCTTTTGTGGGTTTGATGCGCTTTTGGTAGCGTTATGTGCATTTTCAGGTCAAACTAGGCTAGTGGATCACTTGCTAGTCGAAGGGGACATTGAGTTCCAGTTGCTGAAGCCGAGAATCAAAGAGAAGACGAACTTAAAGAAACGGCGACCCAGTTTAAGAAACGGCGCCGTTGCTACCGTTTTGATGTGACACCTCTACTTCGTCAAGAAGCTACATTGGAGATTCCAGATTCGCTATTCACGAGTTTGGAGCTTTTCAATTTGCTAGATGATGCAGTAGCTACGAGTTTCTCTTCCCTGAAAGCCTAATCAAAGGCCTATAAATAGGCCTCTAGAGAAAGAAATCGAGAAGAAGAGAAGAGAGGTCAAGGAAGGGCTGTTACTCTATCGACAAAGCAACTCACATGAACTAGAGAGAATCCAACCAGAAGGGAGGAATCTGTGCCAAAATTGGCGGCCGAAGCCCTGTTTTCTCTGTTGTGGCCGCCGTGGTGTCCTAAGGACTTCATTTCGATCGATGATTGCGCAGACACCTTCCCCATATGGCTGGATAGTTTCTTTAGTTGCGTAGGTATGTCAACCCTAGGAGTTCTAGTGATGTAAAACTCAATGTTTGGCTTAATACAATTGTTTTCTTTTCATGTGTTGATGCTTGATTTACTCTATTTCGTTATTTGTTCATTTGAATGAATGCTTAGTGACTCGTCCCGAATACCACAATAATTTCCCGCCTAAGGTCCAAGTATAAACCTTAGTCCGGTGCAGCACATGATAAGTATGTTTAAATATCAACCCGGGCCGGTCCGTCTACCCCTACTTCAGTCATTTGAATCATTATCTAGCAACAAAATTTTGGTTGAAAATTTTGCTAATTAAAGTAAAACAAGACAAAGGTGAATGGTTTTGAAAGCTCTTTTGTGGAAGGATCACTCGAGTGTCGCTTCCCCCTAACTACTACCATGGTATGTGAACCGAAATGATTGCTATGGCCAAGGTGATCGCTAACCACTAGGGGACGCAAATATGGTCGTAGACCACGCTCATGATTGCTAAACCGAGGCATGCATTATAGGCTGTCACTAGGCCCTCTCGGTTTAGGCAATCAATGTTTGACTTACTCCCTCACTCAACCCAAGGATTGGACGGCTTAATCACGCTTAACCAAATTACTTAATCCAATATTGAGTTTTGCCCTAAATTAACATAGTTAGAAGACTTGAAAAGCCCTAGGGATACCAACTTAATTGAGACTCCCTTGGAAGGGGGTTTCCTCTCTAGACTAGGTTAACTGGTTAATTAGATTGCTAAGCATAGACATGCACAATCCTTAGGTTGCTAAACATAGACATGCACAAACCTAAGGATGTTAAGCACAAATATGCACAATCAAGATGAATAATACCTCCAATATTTGAATTAAACAATACCCAATGAAAATCATTCAATTTACATAAAAGAAAACTACATGGTAGAGTTAGGGTTTCACAACACCCAAGTGAAAAGAATTCTACTCCATGCTAGAAATGGAAGAAACACAAGGAGAAGGGGTAGAAACCATCTTGGAGGAGGTTTCCAATCTTCTTGGCCCTTGTGTTGAACTTTCCTTGGAGAAAATCTTCCCAAAATCCACCTTGGAGCAAAACCCTAGCCTCCTTCTTCTTTGGTTCGTGTTTCTCTCTCTAAAAATCAGAAGAAGGCTTTCTCACTCAGATGGGCTCTCCCCTCTCTCTTTCTTTCAGCTCAGCTTTTAAACAGGGAACGAGTTGTGTTCACGGCCGTGAACACTATAACGCGTCCGTGAATCCAATTGGGCGCCGCAACGCACCGCAACTGCTGTTCACGGTCTTAGCTACCGTGAACACAATTGGCGTCAGTAACTTGCATTTTGGCACTGGACCCCTCAAAGTTCACGGCCATTGGCTCTTCTTCACGATCATACAAGACCTTGAACAGCCAAGGAAAACCGTGAACTCGCCGTTTTTCACCTCTTCTCCCAGTTTTCGATCCTTTTCGTCCAACTTTTGACTCCGAGGCTGGTTTAACCTGTTAAATCCTGAAACACACTAAAATACGAGAAACCTAGCATAAAACCAACCTTTTAGGAGCGAAGTTGCCACAAACAGCTAAGGAAAACAGGGGCAAAACATGTACAATTACGCCCGAATCACTTAGTCGACCTTGCACTATTTTGAGGTGCAAGGATCAAAATCTCAGTCATGTAGGATTAGACCAAAACTGGCGGCCCTATTCCATCGATCCTCATTCAATCAAACGATGTGACACCTCAAGGGAGAAATCCATAGGCCCTGTTTACTTTCATTTATGTTTCCTGTTTTTGAGAAAACAGATGTTGAAAACAGGTGAAAACGACATTTTTTCGTTTTCGAAAACAGTAGGAATTTGCCACTTTCTGTTTTCAGAGTTGGAAACGAATAGAAAACAGAATGAAAAGTAAACATGTTTAGACGTTTCGTTTCCCAAATTTGTAACATGAAAACAGAAAACAGGAAACGAAAATGGAAGTGAACAGGGCCATAGGGTCCTTGTCACCCATTAGTTCGGGTAAATGCTTCGACACAAGGAGGGATCTAACAAAATACAAAATTGGCAGCTCGTACGTTACCAGATATTGAGGCATATGTGACTAGGAGACCTAGAGGGAGCTTGCCTATGTAACGTCTTTCTTCTATGATCTCTCATGCATCCAATTGTATTATAGGTTTACTTTTCTGCACTCGTTTTCCTTTTTGTTTTAGTTTTGCAAAACCGGGGGCACCTAAACCTCCTATATCGTTTTCTAAATAAATAAAACCGTATCTCGCCACTTGAGTAAGGGTCTGCGAGAGACCATAGGGAAATACGATTATAGACTTCGAGCTACGTAAATTTGGTACATGCTACAATCGACGACATCAAATTTTGGCACCGTTGCTAGGGATTTCTCTCAAAGTTTGGAAAAGGACCAGGTACAAGTTCTATTCTCTTCTTCTGATTCGGTTGCTTTTCTTTTCATGTTGAGTCTAGTTTGCTGATTCTTTTCGTGTCGAGTCAGCCCTTGTGCATTCCCTGTGAACCAAAAATCAGCGTCCCAGGTGCCTAAATCCCTTTGATTTTGACGGCCAGGGCACCATATCTGCAAGTATCTTGCTTCGGGGACCCCTCACTGCCTCTTGTTCCAAACGATTGACCCAACCTAGAGTGCGATGGGGCGGCCAAGCACGATGACATCCAACCAAACATCACTCAGCCCGCAATAACTAAGGGCAATATTGATGTGAATAGACCTGGCAAATTATGACCAAACCCGTTGACTCGACCCAAACCCGTTAGAAAAATAGAAGGCGTATCTCGCACAGCTCCTACGAATACCATCAAGGTCTACTAACGAACTTTTGAATTGTATTCATGCCTAGCCTAAAGACATGAAAGAAAGGGTGCTAGCTCGGAGGCAACCCAGTTTATTGGGTTTTCTCTTTTGTACGTGTTTTAATGTTGATTTTGGTTGTTTGAGATTGAATTGCAAGGTTTCAGAGTCAGCAAGCATGAGCAATGACCATTTTCCAGTTTTTAGAGGGAATTTCATCTCAAATCCAGAAAAAAACACGTGTTCGCAAAAACAGTAGATGGGGCATTCTTTTGAGGCTGGAGATGGGGATTTTGGTGCCAATCCATCATACAATATTTTCTACAAATCCTTAGGGTCTCGAAGATTGTTTGGCACTGTTTTGCTTCGTGATCGATTATTTAAAAAAAAAATCAACCCCCTGTCTCTTTCTGAAATCGGTGGCAAGGGTGACCAATTTCCTTCAAAAATCAGCACCCCGAGCGGCCTTTCTGGACCAATGGTGGGTCTTTCCAGAATCGAGGCCACTAGTGAGCCACATTGGTCATTTAGCTCAGGATGATTACATATTAGGCAGTTGCCATTCAAGGCCAACAATGGTCACATGAATCGTGGAAGGTGAGGACGACTTAGCGTGCCTTCTTCCTCGTGTGCAACCTAACAATTTGAGGGATCTGGGCTCCTAGCTCCTAAATCCAAGGGAGGGAAGAAGCATCACCAACTTCACACCGCGGATGAGCAGGGGAGGCCTTGGCTACCATCTTTGGCACTCAACAGTTCCTTTCTAGACATGTCGGCATTCTTCCAATTCCCAATGAATGATGGGCACTGCGCAAAGAGCGTCATCTTCTATTGTTGTGAATATGAACCCCAAGGTGAGATAGACTGGGAGGCATTTATCAAAGTGGAGGGTTGAGGTACACTACTTCATTAACGTGTGAATCAAATCGGCCTCCTTGAGTTATTGACAGTGTTCTTGTGCTCGAGTAAATTAGGAATTCATGTCCTTGTTGGGACTATCATATCAACTAGGAGGTGGGATTTATGTGGATAACTATGATTCCATCAATGAAAAAGTGGGAGTTCTCTGACTCACCCAACACTTGGCGCTCTTGTAAATGACTAGTTGGGACTTATCGAGATGATGAAGGAGTTAGCCAAGATACAACGTGCAATATGGAACCAACTATCTGGATCAACAAGAAAATTATATTTAACCTCCATAGTTGCCTCGGATATGACTGACTCCTTCTATTGGTTTTTACATTTTGTGAGTCGTGTGACTATTTTTAACCTCCCCACCAAAAATAGAGATCAAATTCTCGCCCTAGAAATGACATTATTCCATGCTATTCTTGAACACAATTGGCTCCACCCAGGGTTGCTCCTCGCACAAGCCTTTGCACGTGTGAGTGACACTGAACAGAAGCAACTATTCATGGGTGGATTCATTGCTCGTCATATTCTCGCGCACCCAGGTGAGGGGGGACGACCTCTTTGGGATAGGTGGGATAGCATCAAAAACCTAGTCTGCACCCCGACTTGTCTAATAACCCCAAACCAGATTGCATTACAGGGTTGATCAGAAGATATCCACATGCTCTCCTTTCAAGCTGTGGAATAAGGGTGCTAATTAAGCCAATCCCCCTTGACTCAATGGACATAGCTAGACCCTCAAGCTTTGATGATATTTTGAAAGTAGCAGTGCTAGGGCCTTTGCACCCTGAGAGCAGCAACGACATCCTTTCCTAGTTACATTGCTTGGAGATTATCAAATAACTCCCCTTACTAGAGTGAATAAATTAGGAACCTATTTGTGACACCCCACCCTAAAATCATGGGTCGAACCAATGGTTCCACCGTGCAGCGGAAATCACTCGGGGTTTATGTTTTGAAAATCTCGACTCAAGTCACATCACATAATTATGATATGTTTAAAACTCAACTCATCATATATCAAAACTTTAACAATTTACTAAAAATCACGGTCTGAATTCATTAATCAATCTTTGTCAAATCCAGGATTCACAGAACCCAGACTATCAATTTCATCTACTCCATTCATACTCAACTCATGTTAATGATCATACTTGACCAATGTAAACTATCATGCATTCTCAAAAATCGAATTGTAAAATAAGGTTTATGGAATACATCAATAGGTGAAAAAAACCTTTTAAATCAAAATCCTCCATCGATCGTTGTGCAGTGCCAGAGTCAAAGGGAAAATGAAAATTCCTTAAGTTGCTCTTTCCCCATTACCGACACTCTTCTTTCTTTTCCTCCGCGCCGCAACGATCCTCCTCACCATAATCTTCCACCGCCATTTCAATCTAGAATCCCATATGCATTTCTAGTCCTCGGTTGCGGACATGCAGAATCATATGGAGGCGGAGGAGTCCTGTCTATGGAGAGGAATCGCGGTCGAGGGTCCCAAATCCGCCGCCGCCATCAAAATCACCAAGAACAGATCTGCTGGTCTGCTGCTATTCAAGATCAGTCGTCGGCTGCCGCGAACAGAAGGATGGAGGTTCGGCGTCCTTCGACTAGCCTTCTCTATTTCTGAATCGCGGACGCAATTAATAGATTTTCAGACAACACGTCGGAGTCGAGCTTGCAAACGACGACGAAGTTGTTTTTGAAGTTCCAGGTAACAATCATCCTTCCTTGGTACCCTCTTCCACCCGATTATCCTTCCTCCCAATGAGCAGGCTGAGGAATTCCAATTCGTATCTAGATCTGAGGTAGGAATCCTTCTGGACGGGGTGCTGCTGGAGATTATGGGTGATGATTTTGCAGAGCACAAGGGAATAGGAAGGGTCATCGCGAAAGATGGGCACAATCATCCACCAAACTCGACAAAGTCCTTGACCTAATAATGGAGTCTCCGAGGCGCTTGATAGGCACAATCGAAGGGGAAATCGATGGACACAGTCGAAGGGGAGATTGATGGACGCATTCGGTCGTCGATGCTCATCTGGGATCTCTTGTTCATCTCCATCAATGCTCTTGGATTGTTTAGGGTTCTTGGAGCCTGCAACCACAAGATTCCATTCCTTGATGGCATTGCGGCTGCCAAAGAGAGAGGAAGATGAGGATATTTGGTTTTGGGGATTCGCCGGCGGAGGACAATGAAGTGGCGGCGGTGCTAAAACACGTTCAAAAGGGGGAAATTCCCGGCGATTGAGATCCGCTCGAGGTTTCGGAACTGACCGACGAGGAGGGCGTTGGAGAGGTCGACAATGGGGATTTCTTCTTTGTTTTTCTTATTTCTACTTTTAATATTAAATAAATAGTTTAATAATTCAATAGGATGATAAAAGAAGAAAAAATATAGGCTGATGTGTACATGTATTTGCCACGTCAGAGTCAACTTACAATTGACCGGACGAAAGTTAATAGTTTGGCTACTAATTTTTTTTTGAAAAGGTTTATCTATTAATTTATTTGAAATGAAAAGTTTGGCTATTAAATTTTATTTACCCAAATATAAATTACTAAATCAATCATCCAACTATTTTCGCGAACAAAATGATTATCAAATCTATCAATGACATTGTTGTAAAAAAGGGTAAATTTCAAGTTTGGTCCCTCGGATTGCTAAAAGATTTCACGTTTGCCACTAAAATAATTTTGTTCGGTTCATGGTAACTTGAATTAATTTTTACTTTTTAGTCCAAGTTTGGTCACTGGTCGTTAGTCTGTATCAGACTCCGTTAGTTTCGTCAATTAATTGCTGATGTGGCAAATGGAAATGTCTAATCACCCAATGTTAACAAAAAATATTAAAATCTGACCTGCCACATCAGCAAACCCGACATGTAATAAAACCCAACCCATACCCAACCCCTATTCTTAACCCCTTTCTCTCCTCGAGACTCAGCTCTCCGCCCCAAACCCTCATCATCGTCACCGACACTGGAAGAGATATCAAATGACCTGCCTGCCGGAACAGCTCCAACCACTCCCCCCGTCTTGCCGCTGACCAGCTCTCCTCAAACCCGATATGCTTCGCGAGCGTTGCTGCTGGAAAATTTGGGTTCGCAAAAGGACAGCTCGTCGAGCTCGGAAAATTCAGTCCCGAGCTCGTCGACACAAGAAAGGGAGGGGAAACAGAAAGAAAAGATGGAGAGGAGATCGGCCTAGGGAGAGACGAATGTGGAGGGGAAGTCGAGAAGATGAAGTAGAGGGAGATGAATGAGAAGGGTCGAGGGGAACTTCTCGATTATGGAATAATCAACCGCTCTGATACCATAACAAACTAGCTACAACTAGAGTTTAGCGGAAGAAGACGATGACACGAAATGGGAAATGCGCAAAGAGCAAGGGATCTCTGTGCTAGTCTTTTATACGCAAAACTAGAGTTGTGAAGTTCACGCTACAAAACAATAGAAATGGAAATGAAAAATTGTAATTTAATAACAGTAAAGGTAAACGCCACGTGTCGTATTGGCACGCTGCAACTTCATTTCACTTCTTTTGAGTATCATCTTCGTCTTATTCACTTAATCGTTTAAACCAAAAGCGATCAGCCAACTTTGCGCAATTCCGGATGCTCAGTCGCTCCAAATTCTTCAAATCGGAGAGATCCAATATCCATTCCAATGAATGGCAATACAAAATATTCACCATTCTTAGGTTATGAAAACCACTCACATCTGGTAGCCTCTCAAGCGACTTGCATCCATCAATAGTCAGTTCTTCCAAAGATTTCAACTCCTCAAGCCCCTCGATCTCCCTCAAAAGTGGGATGCTCTGTAAATACAAAACTCGCAATTTTCCCAGCTTTAAAAGACTAGGCAATCTCTCCATCGACTTCATGTTAGACAAACAAAGTGTCTGCAATTCTTCCAGGAACTCCAATCCTTCCAGCTTCACTATCTTGCCCATATAATACACATCCAACTTCCTCAAACTAGGAAACTTGGACAGATGAGGTAACCCTTGCACCAAATTGATCCCACCAACCACGAGTTCTTGCAACGATTCAAACACTTGGTTGGCTCCATAGCAAGCCTCCTTAAATATCTCCGTGAGAAAAGGACAATGGTTGATATCCAACCTTTCTATAATGTTCAGAGCAGGTACACCAATGCACACTCTCTCTAGTGCATCACAAAACTCGACATGCAAGTCGGTCAACGATAGGAGATTATCAAGTCCGTCGAGATGAGTTAAGCTATCCGCAGACCTTATCGACAGATTTCGCAACAATCTCAGGTCTTCTCCGAGGCCTTCTATCACCTTAAGCTTAGGGCATTCAATGATGCTCATTTCAGTCAAATTCCCCAGATTATCTAGACTTGGAAACTTTTCCAACATTGGGCAGCGAATGACATGAAGCTTGACTAGAGATGATGGAAACTGTAGGGGAATACTGACATGATCACAATATTCAACTGTCAATTGCTCCAAGTTATTCAGGTTGGAAAGATTAGCAACTGAAAATGAGGTACTTAGCTCCTTCAAACTCGTGGGAAGCTCCAATACTGCATTTTTCGGCTTGATCTCTGTGGCTCTCAAGATCTTGAGAAATTTCAATCTTCGAATGTCAGCCAGGAATGGTCCCAAGTTCTCACAGTTGCACCTGCTGACGTCTAGCTCGCGGAGCCCCTGAAGGATTCCAATGGTGTTGCTGACTATCTTCCTCAGTGTACAATTCTCGAGAATCAAAACCTTCATGTTCCTCATATTGTCGATGTTTAACTCCTGAGTGGTTCCGGTGATCCCACTAAGATCTAAATGCTCTAAGCTCCCATAAGTGGAGATTTCCGGAAATTTGGTTACAAAACGACAATATGAGAGATTCAAAACTTTCAGATTCTTTGCCATCTGCATCGCATAAGAGCTTGGCATGCATTAATAAGTGAACTAGACAGCTAGCAGAGAATTACTCAGAACAAAAATGGTTGTCTTTGTGAGGAAATAATATTTTTTCAGTTGTAGCTAACCTTGATATGGCTCCACCCTCCCCAATCGTCTCTTATGAAGCTGGAGCGAAGATCAAGGATTACCAACTTACTCATATGAAAATTGCTAATGCGATCACCTGAATTTTCATGATAGCGTAACCTAATCCATCTTAAATTTTGAAGAAGCCCACTAAAGTCCCCTGTGATCTTAATATAATCTCCACAGAAGTACCTCAACTCTGACGAATTGCTAAATTGTTCATTTGTAAGCTCCAGTGTATCAAGAGGTAGCCAAGTTAATTGAAGAGCTTTAACCTTTTCCATTCCCTGTAAAAAGACAAACAAAGCTTGGATGACTTGAGAAGTACGGTTGTACATATTACAACTTTTTTTTTTTGTGAAAAATGTATCATAACTTTAAAGCTATGTAACACAACAAAAGTGATCATCAATAGATTGAAATTCTAAGACACAACAAAGTGGTGATGGTTCCATAAACAACTATAGGTGTGATGGTCTTCACCCAATAGAGACTGATATTCTATCATGTGTTCCTACAAGAGACCCACCATATCAGATTATACCAATGTAACTTGGCGCTGGAAATACACAGATTGTGTAGTAAACTAGTAATAATAATTGTGTTACTGGCACGATAGTATTAGTGGATAGATTACTCTAAGTTATTCAAAACTTGAACCGGCCTTATCGATTATTTGAACACTTGTAGATAAACCACAAACAAGAAAAATGTAGCTCAAAAGCAAATGAAGCATACCTTATTGTTATGTAACACTTGGAAAGTATCATCCCCTAACCATATTCTACTCCTCATCCATGGATGTTCTGTATCTTCCTCATGAACAATCTCTTTACCCAAATCTCTGAGTTGATCATGCATCTTGAACTCATTATTGTCACCGACCTTGATCATGGACCTCTGGATAAGGACATTAATACTACTGATGGGATAAAACCTACAATCACTCCACATGTAAGAAGCTATTTCTCTATCTGTCCCAACATAAAAACAAGCAATGTCAAGAAATATTTCTTTCGCCTCGTATTCCAATGTATCATAACTTATCTTCAACCTTTCTAGAACCTCTGTCTCAGATGTTTCTCTTAACCGCAACAAAGTTTCTTCCCAAAATGCTTTACCTTCTTCAAATAGAAGTGATCCTACAACCTTGATAGTCAGTGGAAGACCTCCTGCTGTGGATACAATGTCTCTAGACAAAGTTGCATAATCATGTGGGGCGGAATCCATTCTAAATGCATGCTTGCAGAAAAGTTCAAAGGAGTGTTCATAGCTCATTTCTCCAACTTCATATAGCCAACACCCTTCAACTAAAGTCAAAACCTTAATATTTCGAGAAGTAAAAATAAACCTACTTCCGGGAAAAAAGGTTTCAAACTTCCCTAGGATGCCATCAAATTTGAACTTGTCATCCACATCATCAAGAACAATAAGAACCTTGTGATGGCTAACTCTATCTTTTATCATCCGGATTCCTTCACTATCACTAGATACATGAGTTGCCTTTCTCACAATGCCGGAGATTATCTTATTCTGCAGAGCAATTATACCATCCCTACGTTCCAATGTTTCTCTCACATCTTCCACAAAGCAGTGGCGATCAAACCGAGCACAAACTCTATTGTAGACAGCAGTTGCAACAGTGGTCTTACCGATACCACCAATGCCGTGAATGCCAACAGTTGTCACAGCTTTAGAGTTTAAATCCAACCTTTCAACTACTGCTTTCAAGTGTCCATCAATTCCAACCAATTCATCGGTCATTAATTCATAGTTCTCACTTAAATGCGACCATATGTTGTCAAAAACTTCATCAGCTATAGCTCCTTGCCTGAAAAATATTATCATGATGTGATTAGGAGCAATGTAACAAAACAACGAACCAAGAAAGAGTTGAAACAAAATGAATTACAGGATAGGATATAGTTTGAAATCATTAGAGGTGTCAGAACAAAATGTGACAAGAGTAACCCGCCAGATCAACATGACCCGCAATCCGTCCGAGTCATAACTCGATTGACCCACAACCCGGCTGACTCGTAACTCGATTAACCCACAACCTTATTAAAGCCGTAAATAAATTAACCCGAACTTGATTGACCCAAACTCGACTAACTCGTAATCCGAACTAAACCCGTCCGATTTATTTGAATAATTACTATATTATATAATATATAGTCTTTCAATAATATATGAAATTCACTTCAAATTATGTATTTGTAATAAAATTACAAAAATTAAAACATGAAGTTCGATAAAAAAAAATGCTTTAAGAAAATAAAAATGGTAATGAAATATAAAATCTGCACAATGCCAATATTAATAATGAATAATTAAAAATTGAGACAATGTACAAAATTAATAATAGTACATGTACATTAAATTTCTAGTTAATTTAACTATTCTACAAAGTTATCAATTAAATATAAATATAGTCAAGTAATGCATTTTATTTTTATTTTCTTAAAAGAATTGAAAAATATTTCTGTTTTCAATTTTTTGGTAAGAGACAGAAGAGTGAAATTTGTTGCTTTAAATTTTTAGGAAGAAAAAGAATGGAAAATTTCGATGGTTTTGATTTATGGTAAGAAAAATAATAGAATTTTTTGTTGCTTTTGATTTTTGAAAATAGAAGTAATTGAGAAATTTTTGTGTTTTCAAAAGGAGGATTAAACTTGGAATGTTAAGTTGTACGATTGAAATAACTTAACCATCCAAAAAAATATATATACTTATAACATTAATTTAGCACTTTGACAAAAAAATTACTTTTATAAGTATTTTAAAAAAATATAAGTAAATATATGAGGAAGAAATAAATTGTCTAAAATTGTGAAAAATGTTTGAAATTAGTTTAATTAATAAATTGTCTAAAAAAAAAAAATGTGATGACCCCAAACAACCTGCAACCCGATCCACTCGCGCAACTCATTTGACCCGTAACCCGATTGATCTACAACCTGAGTAACCCGCAAACTGACCAACCCATAACCCAATCAACTCGTAGCCCGAATAACCCGCAACTCGATGAACCTGAGCGCTCCTAACCAGCATCTTAATGAACTCAAAACCCTACTAACCCGTAATCCGATCCAACCTAACCCAATCCGCCTGATTGAAACCTCTGGAAATCATGTTTTCTTACGCAAAGTTCTAAGGTATAACCATTTCACAACTAATTAAGAAAAGAAAGAACAAGCATTTCATTTCGTACCCTTCCTTGTCTGTCACGTGCCACCCTTTCAATTCTCCAACCTCCTTGAGAGCGTCTTTCCAAATTTGTAACGTTTTCCCATCAAAATTCCTCGCGTGTCGCTTAAATGCTTCTTCATACGCCCCGCTTTGTTTCCGCACGTCTCTAGGGTCCACCTTATAGAAAATGGGTAAAATGATGTGCCCCTTGTCTTGCCGCCGACAATCAACCATTTCAGCAAGCTCTTTGAGACACCATTTACTGTGAGCATAATTTTCCGAAAGAATCGGAACATAAACCTTGGATTCCTTCATGACCTCCACCAAACTTGGCCAGATTCCTTCTCCCTCGTGAAGATCCTCGTCATGTTTGAATGTGCGGATTTTTGAGCGGAGAAGAAAATGGTATAGAACGTCGGTGATCTCATGGCGGGTGTCTGGTCCCCGAAAGCTCAAAAAGACCTCGCAGTTGCTGGTTGGTGAGAACAAGGAAGCATCAGGACCAGAAGTGTAAGCAGAAGAAGATACAGATTCTGGAAGTTGGGGGCTGTCGTTCCAGGTGTTGGAGGACCGCCGCCACCTTCGAAATAGCCACTTGCAGAGGAAAATCAATGCGGGGAGCATTAATAAAGCTGTCACTGCTGCCGTCAAAGCTTCTCGTACGTCCATTACTGATGGAAGGGTAACAATAAGAGTCAAACTGTAAAACCATTTCCTAATTTTAGTGACATGCGATTAGGGCTGTCAATTTGGATAACCAAAACACCAAATCAAACCATTAGCATGAAAACCAAAAACCAAATTAGGCATATTCACAAAAATCAAAACCATTAATAGGGTTATCGGTTTTTGGATAACCATAAATCGATAAGCTCCTTAATGGTTTCGATAAACCAAAAACCAATAACATGGTTGATTTTAAAGAAATCAGAGGTCCTTCAAAAAAACAGAGATCCTTATCGGTTAATTGGTTTTTTATTGTTTTTTGGTTTTAACCGAAACCAAAATCATTAATATGCTAAAGGGTTTAAAACCAAAAAACCAAAATCGTTAACCTTTTAATGGTTTGGTTTCGATTAAAACCGAAAAACCAAAACCAAATTGACAGCCCTATATGCAATATGGATTATCCCACAAGACCTTGTACCTGAAGGAAAGCGTTGAAAACTGCAATTCACAATGGAAACATGTGTTGCTCCAATCTTAAAGAAGAAATGCGCCTGCTGTTCTCTCGAGTATGATAAGAGCAACAATGATTAGCTAGAGAAATTATATATTATGAGGTGTAGTCCATTGCTTTGATTACAAGAAAACCATCAAATTCCACCACAAGCAAGGAAAAAGAAAGTATCAATATATTTTCAAAGTACTAAGCAAACCATCACATTCCCGGACACATATGTTTCTTTGTTTATTTAACAGGAGATCAGTAGACTTCAAGAAAAGCATCAAATTCCTCTCCACGTATACTCAATTAAGGGAAAAGAAAGTATCTATCCATTTCCATAGCATAAAGCAAACTATCCTATTCCCACACGCATAATTGATTATAAATTTATTACAAGAGATTATGAGTTTCCACACAAAAGAAAGAAACTAGCAATAGGTTGGGTGCTACATAGAAAGAAATTACATTGTATAATTAATAATTATTAAATTAAGATTAATTAGTAATTATTAATTTATCAATTAATTAATAAATACTATAAATAAATAATTTTCACGATCCTGACTATATTAATATATAAAGGTTATATTGTAGTAGATTTGGAAACATATCATAAGTTATTCTATCTTAATAATGTCACTTGAACTGTCTCAAAAGTTTGCAAGTTATTGGATATAGTAGATTCTATCTTAATCATCTTAATAATGTCACTGGAACATATCATAGTAGATGTGGCATGATTTGGGAACATATCATAGGTTATTCTATCTTAATAATGTCATTGGAACATATCATAGTAGATTTGGCATGATTAATTGGATATAGTAGATTTGTAATTATCATAATTTTATAGTTTATAAGTTAAAAGCTTGCATTTAGTAACTAAGATATTGTCTATAAAAAAACCTATCATTAATCATCTTATCATAATAAATCAATTGCTTCTATTATAGTACACAAAAGTCATAACCTAGTACCAATTGTATGAACTTATTTAACAACTTATGATAAATAAAATACTTATCTATATACATGAACTAATTTGCTACTTTATGGTATGAAGTTATGTAATTTGAAGGTCAATATATACCTAACAGTTTATGGTTAAATAACTAAATTAACCATTAGCTTTAACAATCATTTATTTTTGAAAAGTTCACTTAATTGGTCTACTTGTTTTCTATGCTTCTATATTTGTTTCAGCTTTTGCACTATGTGATAATTATTTAACAACACTAATGTAAAGATTTTGCACATTTAAGTTGTGCTCGAGTTGCATTGTGGTCTCAAAATGAGGGTTAATCTTGGTCTATTAAGTCATACGATTATTGTAAGTTTATAACTTAATTATCTAAAATAACATAAATTAATGTAGCAGTTTGATAAGTTTTTCAACTTTATAAGTACTTCTACCAAAAAAACCTTTTAAAAGTACATATATGAAGTACAAATAAATTGTCTAAAAATTGCGCAAAGATGTTTGAAATTAGTGTAATAAATAAGTGTAATTTGTAAGAAGTAAAGAGTAAGTAACACTAGGTGTTGACCAGAACAATCTACAATCATATTCGCTTTCAACTCGCCCGACCCTCATCCTGATGAATCTGTAACTCAACAAGCAGTGGCGGACCCGGGATTGTTGAACAGGGGTGTCGTCTAATGAATGAGTATCGCCTATAATTATAAAAGCGGTGTCGGAAATCTCGTATTAAAATTTTTTGTACCAAAAAAAATATAGATTTTTCACAAAATTTTCGGGTCCGACACCTCTTCCCATCAAGTAGGTCCGCCCCTGTCAACAAGTAACCCAAATGACCCACAACTAGATGAACCCAAAACCTAAGTAGCCCGCAATCCAATAAACCCAAAACCTAACTAACCCATCACCCGGTTGAACCAATCCAAACCCGCCCACATCAGCCATTGACACCTCTAAAACTTATAGTTGGAAACGCAAAAAACAGAAAAGTGAAGCTTGCGGAAGAAACCGCACCCCAATATTAAACGGGACAGAGAGACATATGATCTGGTCGAAGACTTGGAAATATGGTGTTATTTACTATTTAGGTAGAGTTCGAAATCGCCAATTGAGAACGGTAATCGCCGGCATCCTTCACCGGTCGCCGACAATCCCGTTCTCACTCGAAATCAGGGCGGATTCTTTCATTTTGTTTGCATGAGACCGCAGAAAGAAAGAAAAAAAAGCTTCCCTCCTCTTCTTTCACTTGCACAGTTCACTGGCTCACGAATATAATATTCATTATGAATATTTAAGTTTTTTTATAATAATTTAGAACGATAATTAATAAAAAATAGGACGACAAAGTAGGGGTGGGCATTGGTGCGGTTTGGACCGCACCACACCGTAATGATACAAACCGCACCGCACCACATTTCAATTGGACCGCACCGCATATTCGACCGCAATATTATCAGTGCGGTCAACCAAATCACATATATTAGCGGTTTGAACCGCATCGCATGTTTGACCACAATTCATTATGAATTATACATTGATAAAATACAATTACTACCGCCGAGCGAGAGCATCAACTCATTGACTACAAGCACAAATTGCCTCTTCCTTTCGACATCTCCTTTTCTCTGCAAATTTTGTTGCCTTTCAAAGTCAAATTCATCATCTCTTGAAAATTATATTTGATTAAGTTAATGGAAGAAGGGTCAAAAGCTCGTTCAGTTCCCTGACCAAAGTGCAACAATCTCCTCGCCGAGCTACCCAAACTTCTCTATCAGTTCAGTAGATGCACAACTGTTCTTCGAGGTATTCAATTGCATACTCTGTTTCTCTCACCTCTGTTTTAGTTTGTTCTGTTTGGTTCCGAGAATTCAAAATAGAAAATGTTCCCGAGAATTTAATTTGTTATTTATTTACCTTGGACTGGGATCTGCGAAGATGAAGAATAAGTAGGCAGCAGTTGGTTGCGCATTAGTGGATGGAATATGAATTCGGAAGTCAGCATGGAGTAGTATGTCGATCGGTTTGCGATTATTTATTAGCGATTTACGGTTTTGAGTCGCAACCGCGCGATTTCGGTTAATCCGACCGTAAGCCACAAGCCGCTAAAATGATAGATTGCATGTCAAATCGCAAGTCTCACGGAGCGATTTGGTGCGATCTGGAACGGTTTGACTGCACCAATGTCCACCCCTACGACAAAGCATATAACAAAATATAAGAGTTAATGGAAAAGGCCCACATAAAGAAAGAAGTACAACTCAAACCAGCCCAAAAAAATAACAAAGGGCCCAATAGCTATCCTATCTCCGAACCCATTACTGAACGAAAGCAGCGCGAAATACGTCCATCTCCTCCTTGCTCAGCACAATTCCAACCTCGACACCGCCGCTCCCATCTCTGCTCTCCGCCATTGAAATAGCTCCCGTCCTCGCCGTGGACGTGACCTCCACCTTCCTCGGCCGCCCGCCGTACCCGAAATCAACCCCATACATCCCCAGCCGCGGCGACCCGGCCACCCCGATCACCTCGAACTGACCCGATTCCGGAAACAGAAACCTGGCCAGCCTCCCTCTCGCCCCCGCCATCGGTCCTTTCTCCACCTCCTTGATCGCCTCCACGATCTTCCCCGCCGCGTACGCCACGCCGCCCTCGGAACCAGCCTCCTCCCCTCTCAGAGCCACCTCGTACGGGAAAACGATATTGCCGAAGAAATTCCCCGGCGCCGGGGGTTCCAATCGAGATCTGAAATCCGCCGTGAACCCGCCCATCATCGTCGCGCCGCCGCGGATGCCTTTCGCCTTCACGAGGCAAACCTGGGTGTGCGCCAGGGTCAGGACGAAGCTCGACAGGTAATTAGGGTTGGGGAATTTGGGGATCAGAGACTCCTTCAGCTTCTTGATTCTCTCTTTCGAGAAATCGAAGGTCGCTCGCAGTCTCTTGGAATCGCCATCTACCAAGCTCCATAGCAGCTCCAAGCTTCTAGGGTTTGGATTGGGATCCATCCCCGGCAGATTGAGCCGGAATCGGAACCAATCGTCCAAATACTCCACCGCAATTTCCCGCGAGTCGACGATGCCTGTTCGATCGAAGACCGGAGCCAGCGATTCCGGTAGCGGCGGCGGGAAATCGGCGCCACCATCTCCGACGATCTGCCTGCAGGTGTGAGCCCAGGCTTTCATGAAGACGGACTGCGTCTTGCCATCGAGAATGCCGTGCTGAGAGGTGACGCCGATGCAGAAGCCTCGATTGGGGAACAGAGTGATCTGCAGGGAGAGAATCGCTGCGGCGGAATCCGATGCGTGCAGCTCCGGCACGTAGGGCAGCGAGTCGGAGGCTTCTCGGTCTCCGTCGGCGGATATGTGGTCGAAGTCGTCCGTTGACTCGGCGACCGCGAGGGAGACTCCGTCGCCGGGGCTGTAGAGGACGACGGGGACGGCGGCTGCGGAGGGCCAAACGAGGTTCCCGGCGACGGGGAGGTAGTGGCGGAGTGTGAAGGAGAGGGAGCGGGTGAGGCGAGGGAGGAGGCGCGTGCGGAAAGTGGAAGGGGATAAATCCGGGAGGTGGTAGAGGAAGATGCGCTCCACTGGCGGCAGTTTGATCCAGAAGGTGTCGAAGAAGGTGAGTGGGAGGGTGAAAGGATTGGACGGCGGCGGTTCCGGCGTCACCTTGCTGAGCTCCACAACCTTGACTGTCGATTGCGCCATGGATGGAGGAAAACCTTCGTGTGTTTTGTTTGTCATTCACCCCCCCTGATTTCGGTACTCGTCGCCGTTAAATATAATAACAAAGATTTCCACCTTGTTGAGTGCGCTGATTATTCTTAATTAATCACTAATGCAAGGTTGTCAAACCGGTTTATGCCAGTGTGCCGGTTTAGCAAGTGGAATGGTTTAACCGGTGGCACATACCGGTTTGTGCCGGTTCATGCCGGTCAATATTACAAATAAAATTATAAATACTCATATTTAAACATGACATTTAAAGTCAATACCTAAACATTTATACTTGAATCCAACAAATAACATCAATATTTAACTTTTATACTCATAAAATAAATAATAAATTAATTTTTATCAATTAAATTCTCTAAATTAAAGTCATTTTACTTAGAGATTCGTATATCAATCATGCCGGTCATATCGATACTGTCACGCCGGTTTTATGATCGGTATCGGTTGAATCCGGTACAACCGGTGGCACGTCGGCCGACGTGACAACCATGCACTAATGTTATTGAATCTGAAAAATAACAGAAACGTGCTGTATCCACCAACTACACTGGGTAGTGTAGTGGGCCCTGAAGCAGTGAAGCTGGCTGGCAGGCATGCTGTCCTGAGCTTTCACGGTAAAGAAAGCTATCTTAATGTAGCCTAAAATGACTAGTTCCTAAAAACGTTTGTACAGAAACAGAACGCGACAAAGTGGTGATATGATTGCATGATAAACCCACCAATATAGCAGATTAATTCTAGTTTCTACTCTCTAGACAACGTTGTACTCAGAAATAATCTGAGTTGGGCAAACCTCGAACCTTATCCGTACTTTAAATACTAACCCACAAAAAAAAAAAAAAAAACTTGCTTCAAAAAATTCTGCTTCTTCAATATGATTTATGGACGATTGCTTTACCCAAATCTCTGGGGTGAGCCTAATCATGTATCTTAAACTCAGTATAATCTTGCATCCATCGGGTAATGGAAAACAATTATCCACCATGAGTAATTACCCAAACCCAAAGAAACACATTGATTATTGATAGGGTGGTTAGTTGGTTCGGTTATACTCGTAACCATTTAGTCGGTTATCGGATAATCATTAACCAATTTATGCTTAACAGTATGGTTTGTATTAATCGATAGACTTTAATTATATTATCGATTATTTTGTCGGTTAACCAAGTAATCATTGAGCACGAAGTTAGGAGTTGTGTACTTTTTTAAAAGCTTACTAAATCATCCAACAAACAAGAAGATTGAATTATGGTTGTTTCTTTCAAGTGGAAAGGGAAACAACTCCCAAGAGGCGACATTTAGTGTTGTTGCGTTCAATTGACATGGTCAAATCTGTACTGGACGAGCTGAAACACTGGTTTGTACTATTACGAATTAGGATGAATGAGGATGCAAAGGGTGTTTTGGATATTGTGTTATGCCTAAAAAAAATAAAGTTCCTTGTCTGGGTTGATCATTTTTCGCATTCTTGTGTCGTGAGCTTTTCCTGGTGTCTTGAAGTGGTCTTTTGGACTTAGTGGTTGTCTTTCTTATTTCCACTTTCACTATCTATTCTCCTCTTTATAATCAAGTTTATTTCACTTTGTGGTTGTCTTTCTTATTTGTAGTTGTCTATTTTTTTTTATGGTTATCGACGATTGGCTTGGGATAGGGTGAGTAACCGTTTGTTACTCACCCGTCAGTAACCACCTAGGAACCGTTGATCTAGTGCGGATGGATCGTATGGCTGTCATTGAAGCGGGATTGTCAGGGGCATTTTTGTCTGTTATTTGAATTAATGAGTTTCCCTTTTATCCGTTGCGAGCTAGGATTTGGAGAGGGAAAGTGCGAGCAGCAAAACAGGGGGACCGAGCTATGGAGAATTTTTCTCTCCATAATTGATCTCTTTTTTTTTAGGAATCTCCATAATTGATCGACGGCGAGAACTTAGGTGGATTACCTAAATCGACCGCGAGTTTATCTCTGGTTAGATATTAGATTTTCTGATTCTTCCTGTTCAGTCGTTAACTTTTTAACCTGGCGTGATTCGTTGAGTCTTCTGTGGATCTTTGGTTTCGTTGAGCTTTCTGTCGATCTTTGGTTTCGTTGAGCATTCTGTCGATCTTTGGTTTCGTTGTATGTTTTTCGTTGCGATAATTGCTAGTGAATATGGCTTTGACCTCGACTGAGTGAGTTTCTTTGTGTTTCTGTTTAGCTAATCGAGCTTGTTCATGTTCATGTTGTTTGTGTTTTTGCAATACTCTGGTGAAATGAGTTACGTTAATTGTGGCGATGTTGTTCCATTCGATAGATCTGTTTCTTCATCTAGCGGTGTATGATCTGGTTCTTCATCTAGCGTTGTTGGAAATAGTTCTTCATCTAGCATTGTTGGATTTGGTGATTCAGCTAACTTTGATGAATCAGGAGGTAAGATATACAAATTTGTTTGTTAAATTGAAGTTTTAATGTGTTAGATACCATATTTTACCATGGTGGTAATTACTGGTATACGCTGAGAGGTGATACCATAATGTTGTGCTGTTATATTATTGTGCTCTGTATTTAACTTTTACCTTATCATACCATAGTGGTAATCATTGGTATATTGTGAGATGTGATTCTATTGTGGCGTGGAATTTATTTTACCATATCATACCATGGTGGTAATTCTTGTATCATATCATACCATAGTGGTAATCATTGGTATATTGTGAGATGTGATTCCGTTGTGGCGTGGAATTCATTTTACCATATCATACCATAGTGGTAATTATTAGTATATGCTGATATGCGATTTTGTTGTTGTGGAATCATTTTACCATATTATACCATGGTGGTAATTGCTGGTATTTAGTCATAAAATACACTTAACCTAGTGGTAAAACAGTATATCATGGTTGTTTTTGTGAATTGAATACACTTTATCTTATTATACCATGGTGGTATTATATTTTTACATATTTAATATGTTGCTTCATAATGTTTATAGGTTTCAATGGTATATATCCTACTGTTCGTGATTCTTGGAAGGACTAGAGTTCAATACACCAGATGATGCATATAATTTTTATATTGATTATGCGAATCATGAAGGTTTTGGTGTGAGGATTTTTAACCAATCAGCGTGTCCGAAACTCAATGGTGGTTCTTCAGCTGTATATTATATCAAGTTGTTGCAATAAGGAAGGTTGGAGAAGAGGTAGCGAGAATAACCCTGATAATGCAGGTGTTGTTGATACGAAGGTTCGTGTTCGTAATGTTCCAGAACTCAGGGGTGGATGTAATGGTGCTTATATATGACTGAGGTGGTTTAAAGAGTTTAAATGCTACAAGATCTATCGTTGGTATAATGTGCACAACCATGACATGATTCCTGAGTCTCTGTGTCACTATGTGAGATCCAGCAGACGAATGGCTCCTATGTATAAGATGTTGGCAGAGGAGAATGCTGCTGGTATTGGTGTGACTTCTTCGTATAATGCAATTAGTAGGACTGGTGGTGGTCGGAAGTTTGTTGGGTTCACAAAGAATGATTTGAAGAACCATCTGCGAACGGCGAGGACGTTATCAATTGAGTATGGTGATGCGACTGCATTGCTTGCATACTTTAGACGTCAAGCACAGCTGGATCCTGGGTTCTTTCATGAGGTGGAGGTTGATGTTGAAGAGAACATTGCTAGTATTTTTTGGGCAGATGGGAAGATGTGGATGGATTATCATTATTTTGGTGATTCAATTAGTTTTGATACTACTTACCGGACTAACAAAGAGTATCGGCCACTAGGTATGTTTTCTAGTTTGTTGTTTATTATTGTCTTTGTGAGTTTGTATGTTTATTATTACTATCAATCTATAGCATGGTTATTTTGTTCTTAAAAGTCTGTACCATATGGTATGGGTTGGTATGGATTGCTTTTTTGTTCTTAAAAGTATTTTACCATATGGTATGTGTTGGTAACAAGGTTATTTGAGGTGGTTCTTGCGTTGTTAGAAGTCTGTACTATATGGTATCGGCCGGTATGGATTGTATTTTTGTTCTTAAAAGTCTTTTACCATATAGTATGGGTTGGTAACAAGGTTATTTGAGGTGGTTTTTGCGTTGTTAGAAGTCTGTACTATATGGTATGGTCTGGTATGGATTTTTTTTTCGTTCTTAGAAGTCCTTACCATATGGTACGGGTTGGTATTATTGTTATTCGTACCTTTTACCACATGGTATGTGTTGGTAGAATTGTTTTTACTCACATTTTCTTATGTTTTTGTAGCTTTGTTTGTTGGTTTCAACAATCATCACCAACTGACTGTCTTTGTGGCTGCTTTTCTATATGACGAAACAACGGAAACATTTGAATGGCTTTTCGATCAGTTTTTGAAATGCATGGGAGGTGTGAGACCGTTATCAATGTTTACTAACCAGGCGGCTGCAATTGCTGCTGGTATAAGGTCTGTTTTCCCATATTGTTTTCATGGGTTGTGTACATGGCATATTGCTCAGAATGCAGTTGTTAATCTGGGAATTTTGTGTGACATTGACTTCCTTCGTGAGTTTAGTTATTTGATGTATAATGCTGACGATGAGGATGATTTTGAGTATAATTGGAAAAAGATGATTGAGAAGTGTTTTCCTGGGAAGGGACCTTTGGAACACAGTTGGTTACAGGGTATTTACAAAGTCAGGAAGAAGTGGTCTTCAGCCTGGGTGAATTGTTATTTTGGTGCAGGAATGAAGAGTACCCAGTTAAGTGAGTGTTGCAATAGTAAAATTCGACATTATTTGCAGGCAGAGTTTAGCGTTACTAGATTCTTTGTCCACTTTGAGAGGATGCTTGATAATAAGAGGGATGCTGAAGAACAAGAAGAGTACTATGCGTTATCTAGGTTGGCTGATTCTCGGTTTTCTACTAGTCCTATTGTAAAGCAAGTTGCTAATGTGTATACGCCGAAGATATTCAAGTTTTTCCTTGATCAGTACAACTGTACAAGGAATCTCTTGC